GGTCTGTATGTGGGATCCGAACCCTCGGCGGGAGCGCAGCTGTGCTCCCAAGCGGCGCACTATAGCAGTGCGCCACCGGGCCGGCCCTGTGGTGTGACTTTAGGTGGATCACTTCTCTGAGTTTTTTTCTCATATATAAATTCTTGCTCTAAAATATATAAATAACATATATTAAAGCATATACTAATTTATAAAGTTTGTACAAAGCATATAATTAATGCATATAAATAAAGCAGGCTCAAAGACTTAGCATAAGGCCTGGCATACAATAAATGCTTAATACAGTGTGGCTATTATACTTCATCTGTGCTCACACAGCAACCAACAAAAGTTTCTTCTAACATTGCTGCAATCATTTATATCTATCTCCTTTGCTAGACTTTTAGCACCTAGAGGAAAGGGGCTATTTATCTTTACTTCTGTATAATCAGCACCTATTAACATCTAGGGCACATGGCCAGTGTTTCAGGAATGAGTGGCCAATATAGTGATCATAACCTGCCTGTTTCCATGACAACAATCTATCGATGTGTTTTCATATTTAAGTATCCAGAGTGTATCTCTAAGACTTCCTCTTCAAACTAAAAGTAGAACACAAAAATTTTTGGCCAAACCATACTAATTTTGGTTCTAAAACCCTGATCATTGAAGCAACAGAAGCCACCAAAGGTTTCTAAACATGGAAATAATATCATCACATCTATACTTTTGTTACCTACCTAACAGCAGCAGGAGGGATGTCCTAGAGGAGAAGCCAGAGTGATCAGCTAAGAAGCTACTGGGGAGGATGAAGGAAGACTCGAGTGTTAAGGACAGCTTCCAGGTTTCTAGCTTGAGCAATTTAATAAAGGGGAATACCAACAAAAATGGGTACAAAAAAAAACAGGCATTGAAAGGGAAATGCAGAAGTACTGATAATGAATTGAAAACAATCTGCAGTTGGATACAGGTATATGCAGTAGGCACGTGGCACTTAGGAGATGGGCTGAGGTTGGAGACGAAGATTTGAAAATAATCAGCATGTAAATAATAGCTGAAGCCACAAAGGTATTATTAGAGGTACATACATAGAACATAAATGAATGACAACAGTAGGGGGGGGGGGTTCAGAGATCTACTCCTTTCAAAACAGAGATGAAAAAACCTTCTCCACAAAATCACATATTGAAAAATATCCTGAGGCAAGGCCTGAAAGGGTCAGCAGTGTGCAGTTTTTTTTTGTTTGTTTGTTTTTTTCCTTTTTGTCTTTTTTCATGTCCGGCAATGGATCGCAACCCTCAGTGTCGCGCCCATACCGGACCGGGACCGGCAACGGGATCGCAACCCTCGGTGTTGCACCCGCACCTCGCTCAGCCAGTGAACGGAACCGGTCTGTATGTGGGATCTGAACCCTCGGCGGGAGCGCTGCCATGCTCCCAAGCGGCGCACTGTAGCAGTGCGCCACCGGGCCGGCCCAGCAGTGTGCAGTTTTACTGTCACTCCTTCGGCAATCGTACTGGCCTCAGCAAAGAACTGGGCTCACTGTGCGTGTTCCACCTGCTCCGGGGGGAGCTGGCCCTCATAACTGCATACAGAAGACCCAAGAAAGACCCACAAAGGCACCAGAAGTCCTGCGCTTTCATCTACCACTGGGAGTTTTGTTCTCATCTATTACAGTATCTCCCATTCTCAGAGAACATTCAGAACAAGGGCTCTCAGAATGACGATGAGTCTTTGGACAAGACAACTTTGTCAATGAACATTACTGTGTCCCTTAGCATTTGAGTGTGTGAGTGTGTGTAACATAAACCTTTTACACATGAACTGATTGGATAATGATGCTTCTGAAGTATTCCTGCTGTAGGGCAATGGCTAATGTCACCCACAAAATGTTGTAGTCTTGTAATTTGGAGCATCTCTTTTCCACCAGCCCCCAATAAGTAAATGACTGTCCCCAAAAAGGAATGGATAAGTCCTGCCTGTCCACTCCACCCTGCACGGGCACATACTAACAAAGATATCTTGCCGGAAGGACCAAGCAAGCAGACAAAAGCCATTTCCAGTAAATACTAAACATCACACTGGATATTCGTCTCTCCCATCCCAGACTGTGGGCCCTTCACTGATAACACTAGAACTATCACTTACTGAGAGCATGTGGAAGGATGCAAAACTTTCTGTTGAAACCAACTGAAAAAGACTCTGGATTTTGAACATTCACAGAATCGAAAACTAAGACTTTGTAATG